CATCCCTATAAGATTGATTACAATTACAATGATTACTTCAACAACACCACTTTCTATGTGGATATTTCTTAACACAATACCATTTTCTATTAGCATTTATACTAAAATACCTGAAGTGGCTCTTTAACATTTTATCCATTCCTTTTCACAATCCATTTTGTCTTCTGTGTTCACTTGCTAAGTGGAATTGTTATATCCAGTAATTTATTCGATACTGTGACAGTTAACCTAATTAAGATCAGCCTCACACTCCTTTGAAAGTGGATTTTCTATTTAATATCCCCCTGTATTTGCCTTTGCAACATTTTTGCACATGCACACATATTGTAAGAAAGAAGTAATTTTGAAACCTGGCACTGAACGCAACCTTGGATAATGTAGATTTTGTCGATACAGAATTTGTGTTAGTGGAAAACCTCCTGTCAACTCAAGCTTCAGTGAGGAATATGTAATATATATGAATAAATATGATACTGTCAGACAGTGTGGGGGAAGATGACTTTTCTACCTTAAAGCTAGAGTGTTCATTTAGCACAGTGGTAATCTGTGAGACTCAATGCACACATTCTTTTGATATATGTGCTACTTCACGGGCAATATCATCACAGCGACTAAGTTCTTACTTCAAGAAATCACCTGTCAATCACACAGTGTTCAGTACATGTACAGTTTGAGTAGGAGTCACACTGTTCTTTTCTTTGTTCTCTATTGTCGTTGCTTTTCATGCTAATTATTCAGCTCTGGTGCCGCAAATGAAAAATGGACGCTAAGGATGGAAAGCTGTGGGGCTGCTGTTGTTAAAAAGTTCCCTAGAGAAGGTAGGAGTAGAAAAGTAAAAATGTGCTAGTTTAAAGCTACTGCAGATAATGTGATCCCTTAATATGTAACATTAAATGGCTCCCTATCATTAGGGTAATCCTAAAGGACAAGTTCATAAACTGTTCTCTGCTTTTCACAGTTTCCTGCCACCTCTCCTCTGCCTCCTCCTCGCTGCGGGTCATGCTGCATCCTGCCCGTGTTCAAGGACACGCGCTTTTGTCAAAATTTGGCTGACAAGAACCGAGCCCTTGTACAATAACAGTGTTCTCTTCCCCCGCGGCTTTATTTGCTTTCATGTTTGTGTCTTAATAGTGTTGCTGCTCTTTTTGGGGTAAAAAAAAAAAAAGAAGAAGAAAGAAAGAAATGGAAAAAAGGAGAGACTTTGCTTCTAGCGCCAGTCCCACAGTTTGCCCAGAAAACTTCAAAGGGCTGTGAGGAAAAGTTTCCTACAGCTTGATGCAGTGTTCACCTCAGTGCCACAATCAGGAGGGCTCCATCTATCTCCATCTTCACCTACTCAGAGAAAAGGATGTGGAATGTTTGATGATTTCTGTCGGTAGTGAGTCAAGAGAGGGTGTTTCTAACAGACCTGCTTCCACTTAGCTTGAATTATAATCACTACAGTATCTGCAGTAGCAAACAACTAACATATGGAAATCTCAGACTCAATCTACACACGGAATTAAATGAGATTACATTTACACCTGGCGTTAATTTCTGTTTCCTGGTACCACATTGAGATGTGATTGCTCTGTGCAGCTGACATCACATCCATCTGCGAAAAGATAAACAAGACACAACAAAAAAGGAAGATAGTGACTATCCGTAGGCTAATGGCTACTGCTTTTGCACCGTAGACTGAATTTAATGATGGACAACATGACAGCCCGCCTAAAACAAGGAAAAATAATCTGGATGGCGCCCTAGTGGCTCAAAGTTGATAATTCCTCTTTTTCTAACCACAGAGATGTATGTCCAATTGTTCATTTTCCACTAAGTTATGCTGTAATGAGTTGTTTATGCTTTAAAAACAGGATGAAATGTCATGACGGACAGCTGAGACAAACTGACGATTGGTCGAGCACATTCATCAGCTGGACCACCCCGGCTCCACCACTGCACAGACTCTGGCTCCAAATTACATCAAAAGCACTAGATAGATCCACTAACAATGTATGTCGTATGTCGATGCACAACTCCATTGCATTGCATTTTATTGCCAGGTGTAAATACATGTAGGTATCATTCACTGCATGGCTCTTAGAATTAATCTGTGCAGTGTGTGAGTACGTTCGTCTCAAGAGGGTGGGGGGTTTGTCTCCTGCGAGCCGAGGGGATTGGACGAACTAATCAGAAGATGCAAGTGGAAAGAATGATGAAACGCAAAATGGAGATGTCTGCTCACTCTGATATTTGCATTTTTTCCATTTAGGCCTCTTCTCCCTGAGACACTGTCACCTCATTCAAGCTCCGCAGCCTCTCAGAAATATAGTTCATTTTAAAAGTGATGTATGATTAGCTCTGCCAGCCACAGTCCTAATTGAAATGAGTTTCGGCTGTGCAGCAGGGGGAACCGAGGCAGAGATGCACAGCTGGGGCTGTTTCAATTGGTTGGAATCAGTTGTTCGTCCCGTTTCATTCTGCGGACTAATGATTTGCTTGCAGTGGTTGGAATTGCTGATAAGGTAATGTAAGGGAAAGTTTGAACAGTGCAAATTAACACTGAGCACACTTACGTTTGCTACAAAGGAAGCATAGTTCACTTCAGTTAAGAAGTGAGCAAAACTAAATAGTGACAGAGTTCATTTGCACCTCAATGCCAATGCTGAGCTACAGCTCTCCATTTACCCATTCAATATAATTCATCTGCAGCGTTTCCATTGTGCTGTGGTGTTTGGTCGTGCATCGAGACCTGAAAGCAGCTGAAAACTGGAAGAGTTCATTGTGACAGGCGTCCGACAATCTACTGTACAGCAGTATCTCTGCTGTAAGCAACCTGTGCGTGCAGCGTGGCAGCACTGACCATTTCTCCTTTTCTTCCTTTCCAGTAACAAGGGATTAGCCCCCCCCATCCCCTCATCTCCTGGCCCTACCAACCTGCTCTGCACCACGAGGAAGCAGGAGCTTTCTGAGTTACCGCAGGTCTGTTTTTTTACAGAGTTGTGCACACTGACTGACACATCCCCTCAGCCAAAATCACAAATTATTAAACACTGTCCGTGTTTTGCATTGTGAGGAAGAATTGTGGGGGCGGGGTTGTTACTTTATAGCGTAAAGAGAGAGCCCTCGAAAGCCCCAGGTGCGCACACTTGTTGAGGAAGCGATGATGAAGATGCAGCAGTGACACCCATTTAAAATCTGATTTGCAAATTGTTATTTTCATTGTCTGCCGCTGCCAGCGGCTAATTATTATTCACAACTGGGACAACAATGTGACATCTTCCATTTGCTGGAGGATTAGGGTGATACGACTTGAAATGCACATGTTTCTCACAAGGACAAAAAGAGATGCCACGGGCCTATACATACTGGCTTTTCATATTAATGGCCTTGGAATAAGCGGGCCTCCAGGCATCATCACCATAAGACACTGTGTATAATTGAAATGCTGTGCAGGAATCCCAGCGCTACATTATGTTGGCTCGCTACTGTAGCCTGCAATGTTTGTTTCTTAAAGGTAATCTGACTTACACATCTCTTAGATGTATCACTGTGCAACTATGAGAAGCAAATATTTGTCTTTTGTTTGGCCTCCTTGCATGTGTGTATGTGTTTGGTTCATATTTCTGCTGCTTCTGCTGTTTTTATGTACTGATAAAAGCTTTTCTTTTATCAACGTTGAGACTCAGTTGAAAGCACAAAACAAATATACTGGTTTGCTTTTTCACATGTCAACGTTATCTAATATTTTCTAAAACTTCACAGTTGGTGTATTACAGAGAAAAACAATAAATCACATGAAGACAATCATACTTATATAAAAAAAAACATAATCCTAATGCTGCTGAAGCTGAACTGAAATACAAAAACGTTTTTTAGAGTTAGGTGTTTAGTGTTCTCTAGTTCTGATCTTTGCCAGAAGCTTGTTCCAACAGAAGAACAGAAAATAGACACATTTTTCCTTGAACACCCACGTGAGCATCTGTCTCCAGGCGAGCAACTGCCACAGCACGAGGTTTCAACAACGCCTGGAGGTAGCCAGGTGGCATCACATTGTAGGCTTTGTGTTAGTGTCTCAATCCAAAGGGCATCGAGAGTTGTGTCACAGATATTTAGACAAGTCCAAGCGCAGGTAGGCTGATGTGTTCTGGATCACTTTGGAGATGTACCTCTATAGCTGGCCACCCGGGCAGGACACTGCTGTTGCCAAATTTGCGGTTTGACAAGACCCTGGTGGAAACGTTTCAAGGCTGCTCCCAGTCCTCTAGGACCTGGTAGCTGTGTCAGGGGGTCTCCAAATTGAACATCTATCTTGGGACAGAATGCATGAATCTTGGCATTCTGTGATCTAAGAATATTGGAGATCTGCAGAGGTTTCTCAAAGGTATTAAACAGCTCCCCTGAGAAACATGGCATCATGAGATCAAGTGATCCCCCTGAAGTGATATCAATAAACAACAACTTCCATGATGTTTTTAGAAAACAGGACAGTTTCTCCTATGAGAAAAAAAACTATCAATCCCCTGTCAGAGGACAAGCTCCCAGTTTTATCTAGATTACATTTAGATAAGAGCCTCCAACTGATCTAGGCTACAGTGTTGACCGTGTCTGATGACAGGAATCATCACTGGGATAGATTTTTAATTTTGCCCTCAAGCGCAGTCAGCGTGTTGAAGTAAAACAGAGACGAGCAAAGTTGACTCCGCTCTTCTTCTCTTCTACTAGTCCAGCCAGTAGCAATTAGCTCACAGTTTGTTGACAGCATGGGGTGAAGCTCTAACGCTCCAGGGATTAAACGGGTCGGGATGTTTGAGATGCAAAATTGCTTTGAGCGCAAAACGCAGACCGATGGCACCATTAATATTGGTTGACATTACCACACTCATTTAGATTCACTCAGCATGTGGTTTCAAAACCTACAAAACCATGGCTTGAAGTGTCAGTGCTGAAACCTTCCAAGACTAATAGATCAAACTGCTAAGGCTGTGTCAATGTGTGTAGTTGTGGCTTAGAGCAGGTACCTCTTTTATCAGCACAGCTCAGTAAGCGTCATCCATCGCAGCCTCTGGATGATCTGGTTTTTCCAGTTGGACATTTTCCAGGTGGCACATGACGCAGATCTGGCAACACATATAGATTTTACAATCTAACAGGAAACCTGATGTTTATGTGACATGGTCAATTAAATGCATGTTGCAGCCTGCAGCTCTTACAGAATTCATGATGGAACAAATCCCTGTACACTGCTTACTCCCCTGTACATCTACATCTTCCAGTAGTAGTTCAGGGAGAATCACAATAGGATACTCCAGGCATCTTGATCACCATCTGCTGGCTGGCAGCAGTATAGGTCATTAATCCTCCGTGTTTGTGAGTGACGTATTACACTGTTACTTAATGTACAAAAGCAATTTTTTCCCTCTAAAGTTGGTTTTCATTAGTTATTTGATGAAACCGTCATGATTGACAGTTGAGACTGACTCACGATTGGTCCAGTGTGTGTATCGGCGGGACCTCACGACCACGGCTCCATCCCCAGACCACGGCAGTGCAGACTCTGGCTTCAAACGCACAAGATGACGGCATTCAAATCCAGGATATTTGGCTTCATTTCTGTATAGTGGATCAAAGTTGAGACGTTGTCCATTTTTATACACAGTCTTATGGAATTTCAGTATCATCAAACTCAGTCACAGTAAAACAATAGAATTTCACTAACCCAACTAATGTATAGCCCAGCCTGACATACACATGTCACACTTATATTTATAACAGATTTTTATCATAAGTAGATTCACTGGCAGAGATGGAGTAAATATGGGATTTGACAAAAAATGGCCTTCACTTAATCAGATAAATGATTCATTAAGATTTGTATGCATTGATTCCTGCCACCCTAATACAGACTATTGCAACAGACATGCTGGAAGTTGATGTATTATGATTGTAAAGTGGTCTCTAAGAGCTATTACCATTTGTACAAACAGACAAACACTGAATTGATCCCAAGGGAAAATGTGTGCTCCAGGGTAATAACAGAAAGAAAAAAAAAAGAAAAGTTCTTGCATTTACACGCAGACGGTGATCGTTTGCAGAGTGAGGAGATTAAGTATTCCTTGCTTTTATAAGTTCCTGATACATATTCATAACCGCCACCGCTCTGTGTGAGTTTATGCAGATGACTGTTAGAGTTAAAGTTACCAGGCTCCGCCAAGTTCTGTGTCTCTCTCTCCCCCGCAGCACCTTTATTTTCAAGATTCAGCTTCCCCTGGCCTTACCACAGCAGGTACATGAACCTGGAATCATCCGGTTAGAGAAAAACAATGTTGACGTACTGGTGACAGGCGAAACATTCAAAATCTCCTCCAGCTTTGCTACTCTAACATTTTCTTTCAAGTTTGGGCTTGTGCAGAACCTGCACACAGGCGGGCTCTTGCTTTGCTGTAGAATGCATTCTTACATGTACTCAATTACATCTTTGCTCAAATATTTCTATGGATAGTTTCAATAAATAACACAAAAACCTCATCCAGATATTTTCTTTTCAATAGGGGCATTCTATTTTCCCTGCCTGTATTTCCATTTCATCATTTTTGTTCATCTGGTGCCGTCGGCAGCAGTCATCACTCCTCTCCATCCCTCTTTCAACCACAGGTCCGAAATCCTCTCTATTCTCCTCCATCCATCCCATCTCGTCCAGATTACATTACTTTACAAAACAGCATGTGTTGTTGTAGAAAAGAAATCTCTGGCTGGATTATTTATGTGTCACACCAGAGCCTGGGCTTTTTCATCCACATCCCTGTCTGTGGTTATAGTTGACTGGAAAGAAACACATTTTCTCTGATTCATGTATTAAACCAAACTACAATCTTTCCTTAACCTTAACCAAGTATTTTGTGTTTTTAAAGGAAGCTAATGGACAAAAATAACAATGCTGTCACCACTAAAAGAGCATTTTCTGGGTATTTACCATATGTAGTCTGTATTTTTGATTTCATTCTTGCTTACTCACACCATCCTGTCGTTTGTAACAGCGTCAATAAAAAGACCAGCACTAACTTTAACATATTTCTTACCTGAATGTGATTTAAAAGATCGAAACTAGTGATAAAATAAAAACTCTTATTAGAAAACACAACGTTCACTGCTTCCTGATTAGTGTTGATGACTTTCACCTTGTCTTGGTCAGCTGTCCAATCAGAGGTGGGCAGCATCCAAGTTCACACAGAGAGGAGGGGGGTATGGAGTGAACCATGTCGCACACAAACAACCTGCAGGGGGGGGTTCTGTTGACAAAATAATACACAATATAATACACCGCACAACTTTAATGTCATTGTTCTAGCGGGGGGGAAAAAATAAATGTATATATAGTATAAAAGTACAGTTTCAAGTTAACAGTTTTCTTCCAAACTGAAACTTGTGTTAACGTTTCAACTTGAACCCCTGTTACTTCAAATCAAATGAAAAGCAATGATTTAAAGTGAGGAAAAGATTTGTGAGCATTTAAAAACTGTCCAGGAGGAAAAATATTCTTTACTTCTTTCACATGATCAATCAATTTGTATTAGTGTAGCCCATATTCACAAATCACAGTTTCTCTCATAAGGCTTAATTAAACTACCAAACAACCTTATTAACCTAAACCTAACTTTCAAACATCTGGCTAATCAAACTGATCCGTGTACATCTACATTTTGTTAAAGCCGATATGTATGCACTGTGAAAATGTACAGTGTGTGTTGTTTTGGAATTGTGAGCAAACTGGAAAAGTGACAGTTGAGACAGTTTAAGTGTTTTCTTGTAATTGTAATAAGAATTCCAATATGAAATGAAATGAAAGAGGTTTGGACTATAAAGTGAACCGCTGTGTTTACTTGTGCACAGGCTGGGTCTGTTTGAGCGTGAGTTCTCCGGAGGGAACATCTTTATGACCCTGTTCCACCTGGATGCAGATGTAAAAAATCACAATGGCAAAATCACATTTCTTTGAGGAGGAATTGTATTTTATTTTGCACTTTCTCAGGCTGTCGCATCATGTATTTTTTATTTTACAGTCACAGCTCCAGCTGCAGTTGTGGCAGTGCAGTTCTTTCTCTCATGCGAGAACTTGTAGTTCACACTTTAGTCTGTGTATGTCACTCAGAATCTGTTGCGCATGACTATAGATTGAATTAATTATTCGGGAAACACTGGTCTACGATGTATTTATCTATGGTTACGGGCCTAACATTATTTATTTTCTTGTGTTTGTCCTATAAGTTTTCTTACATTAATCTGTAGTGTATTTTTGAATTTCTTTGTCACTCTTGGCAGAGATTTTCCCCAAGTTCACCTTTTCTTCAAGTGCACTTTGCAACTGATTGGCAATAAAACATAGCACCAGTTTATGCCTTATTCTTCTAACACTGGGTCAAATCTGTTCATTGGCAACATTTCCAAAATTGTAAATGAACATATCCAAGAATCCCACTTTGCAACAAAGCGTATTTGACATGTGGGGTTCGGCTGTAAAGAAACAAGGCAGCAGAGTGGCTCTACACAGTGCAACAACAGCTCGGAGCTTGTATTCTACCTCCAGATCCACACATACCTCTAATTGCTAGTGCCTGTCCTTTCTACTGAGTCATTAGTATCGTAATGCAGTGTGACATCTATCTTTGGTCCAAAATGCTGTGCTCAGCTCACTGTGGTCAGTCGTGCCAACTGGAACACAAACAGCAGCTCGGGATTTTTGGGAGGAAATCAAAAACACGTCCAGACACGGCTTTTCTCCAGTGATAATTTTAGAAATAGTATTTCAACGTAATTTCTATTTAGATGCATGTGCATCCATCTCTTTTTAAATATCTGTTTTTATCTTAATGAGCCATAAATCTGCTTTATTTCGACAACAATAAATGAGTTGAAGATAAGTCTTGACACGTGATGTCATGTGTCATCATGGAGCCAGTCTGTGCCGGCCGCTGCAGCAAGATGCGCGGCGAGTCTGCTTTGTTCACCATGGCGAAAAATAGACTTTGCTTTAGGGCACGATGCAGGAGGAGGAAGTTATTTCCCCAGCAAATGGAATAAACTGTTTTTTTTTTAAAACAGTGAAACACAAATACATTTAATAGTTAAAAAAGAAAAAAAAAACAGTACAGACAAAAGAAGACACATGCAAGGTGTTTTCTATATTGCAGTAATAAACTTAACATTATGCGTAATCATTAAACTTAATGATCCGGGTTATTCTGTATCTGAAGGCAACAATACACTAAACAGAAATAGTGTGTGAATCTGCGTGATATTTAATGGCTGTAAAACTTATTTCATAGCCCATCTGCCTTGTCACCATACTGTACCTGGCCCTGGTGGGGAAGGTCTCCATGAAGACTTATTTGTTTGTCCTTTTTGTGTACACGTGCCCGTCCCAGAACACAAACCCCCTCGATAATACCGCTGTGAGTCAGGTCAGAGTTGAGTTCCTGCAGCGCTGGCACAAACAGCCAAAGTCTTCACATATATATATATCTACTCTCAATAGCCCTTGACATCGCCCAAGGCCTTTAACTTTCACATTATTGGAGATGAGAGTGGAGCTGATGTTAAATAATGGTATGAAAGTGAGCGAGAGCAGAGCAGTGGAAATAATCTAGAGGTGTTGAGTTTTATTTTGAAATGTGTTCACCTCATTATATTTTGACGTAAATTAAACTGCGGCGAACTGAGACTGGACAGTATTAATACACATAAACCATACATATATATGATAAAGTTCTTGTTTGTATATGATAAAGTGACCGTTTACTGGAGCTGGGGCAATGTTTCTTCCCCTTCTTCCTCAGAAAAACCTAAATACCTGTGTGTGTATCACCCCAGGCCTTTTATTTGCTGCTTCCACATTTTCCTATTACAAGAAAACAATGCATACATTATATCATATTAAATTTAAATGATATCATCATAACTAACATGTGGCCACATCCCCGCACATAATAAGTTCTCTCTCTGCTCATTTTTTCGGCAATAGTTGAAAGCATTGCTGCCTCAGCGAGAATGTAGGACCCAAACAAAAGAACAGTGAGCGTGAGATCAAGACATAATTTGCAGAAGACTACATTTGTTCTTCATTGTCAGCATGTTATGCATCAGCGAGCCGCCGAGCGTTATAGGAGAAGCATTGTGAAAGTGAGATAAAGGTAGTTGTTTATGCTATGAGCTCATCCAGAAAGAATTACACCTGAGGTCAGATGATGAATCAGGGGGTAGAAGAAACCTCTTTCTTTTTATCATGGGCCTAATTGGCCCCTGTTTTGAAAATCTGTTATAAAAGTGGCAGAAAAGAAAGAGAAAAGAAAGAATGGCATCACATCAATTCCCTAATGCATATGAAAGGAATTTATGCACTAACACGTTCTAATGAATAATACAATGTTCATTTCCAGTTGAAATATAACAACCATCATCATAACTATAGCTGTTATGTCAGTTGGATGTTCCTAACTGTGGTGCCTAATGTGCCTAAATAAGCACAGGGGAGGATATCATCAGGGTTGTTGTGACTATAATTGTGTTTTCTTATTCATGTACTGTCTGATTTTTAGTTTTTCACC